TGCTATACTTTTACCTGAGAAATGTCTTGGAAGCTTCAGTTTATACAAATTAGTTAGATTCTATTGTTGAGAATTTCAAGATGTTGTATTTTAAGCTTAATACACAGCTTTTTAGTGCATACCTATGTTATATATTGGACTAAGTATATGACTACAGAATATTAATTTGGCTGGAAATGACCTATCTCATGTATTTTTAATTTTTTTTGTCTGAAAACACCTCAGAAGTGTTTTGATCTAAATTAGAAAAAAAAATGTGTCTTCTGGGAATAACTCACTCCTCCTTTCACTTTTCTAGTCAAGCTCTCTCTATACTTTTAATATCTTTCTACTCCCCCCATTCCCTAGCTTTTATTCATCTTAAAAAACCAGTGCATAGCACTGGTGGCCTGGAGCTTCAAGGTTCTAAAAGTAACAGCTTGAATTTAGGTACTGTATTGCCCACTAGACATTAGGAAGTCTAATGGTTGGCTTTAGTAGGAAATATATGAATTAATCATAGTGGCAGTGTTTAGAATGTTTGCTGGTGGCCAGTGTTAACCTTGGCAAGTAGTTGAAGCATAAGTCTTATAAATCTTTTCCTAGTACAATTCTGGCAATGAATTATACCATCTTGAGCATTCAGCAAATGATAACCTTTTCTTAGTATTATTTGAAATTTTTCTTTTTATAATTTGTGACAAAAAATTCTTCACATTTTATTATTCTTTGAATCTCTACAAAAATGTTTTTGATGGTTTATTTGTATCTTTAATAAACATATGTAACTGACCTAGCTACTTCAATAAAAGGATACATTTAAAAGCCACTTAAAACATTATTTTTCGTAAAAAAGGATTTTTATCAGGCTAGTAACCTAACCCAATATTACCTTCATTGGCAGAGGTCCTGTGAACTCTAGATACTATGCTAAAATTCCCCTATTAGTGTTTATATTATCAGTTAGGGGGCTACTTAATATGGGGTGGATTGAGGGCTCATGTAGGTATAACATGCATACCATTTCACAACTCTGAGAACAAGTATAGTCTAGTTAGGAGAAAACCAACCAGAATTGGAATTACATGAACATTATTGACAGAACTCTACCACTTGTATCTATGAAATATTTAGTTTAAAATGTTGGTACAATACATAAAATGGCTATATATGTATACATAATATATTCTATAGCTGTCAGTGTTTGTTATACTTCTTCTTAATAGCCCTTAATCAAACACTAAGATCAACTAATACTAGTTTCATTCCAAAAAGATCAATATACATTTGTCAGTTCTAGTACTTTAATACCACCAAGTCATTAACATACATAAGCATGCATCATTAAAAGACAAATAAATCGCTGTTCTTTATGCATAGTAGTAGCAGGTTGTCACTACCAGCTGTGTTACTCACATCACTGAAGTCTGTCAGCCATGACTTTCATATTCATCCTGAGTGAAAGATGGAATGACTTAAGAACATAGATAACGTATTGTAAACAATTTTTTACGAATTAATGAAGCTAAAGTACTTTACAGAATTTACTACCAAAGGAATTCCAATAAAAAGCAGAAAGTGCCACCATGCTGATTATGGATTAGTTTGGGCTACATTTCATCTAGTTTGTCTGTTCTTTAAGTAGAACTATACGTTAAAGTAACAGCTGAAAAGAAGGGAGCCTATCCTGGCACTTGCTCTGGAGATCAGGCTGGCCTCGAACTCACAGAGATCCGCCTGCCTCTGCCTCTCAAGTGCTGGGATTAAAGGTTTGTGCCACCAACGCCCAGCAAGAAGGCTCTTATATAAAAGGTATTCCTAGAATCAACTTAGATTCTGGTTATGGAAGTAGGGCAGACAAATTTTCTGGAATGACCCTTTCATTGATAAAAATTAGCAATCCTGGATAATATTTTAAGTGCTTTGAATAGGTAGGCAAATGTAATGAAAATACAGGGGAAGAAGAAAGCAGAGAGACAAGTCCAAATGGAGCAAGCCCAGCTGAGGTCTTAGTGAACTGGATTCTGTTCTCCTTGTCTGTTGGGGGGGAGGGAAGGGTGAGTATATGTGTGGTTGGGGTGTGGGCATGTGTGTGGAAGCCTTAGACTTTGTTCAAACTGTATTTTGAGACCAGGTCTGCTGGCATCTGTCTGTGGCTTATGTGCCCCAGGGCTCTGCCTGTCTCTACCTTCCCAGGTCTGTGATTACTGGTTCATGACACTTCGTCCAGCTTTTTATATATATGCTGGGGATCAAACTCAGGTTCTCATGCTTGTGTGGTAAGCATTTTACCCATGAACAATCTCTTCAACCCAGAAATTTTCTTTGTATAGCCACTAAAATCTATGGGATGGCTCAAACGCAGGTCTAATTGGAAGACATAATCACCCTGCAGGGATGATCCCTCAGCATAAAGATGAACTAAGAACAAGGACTGTGTAAGCTCAGAAAAGGGTTCTTATGAAAACCTAGCCAACTTACAGGGCAGAGGCAGGCACATTTCTGTGGGTTTAAGTCTAGCCTGCTCTACAAAGTTCCAGTACGGTTAGGGTTGTCACACAGAGAAACCCTGTCTCTAAGAACAAAAAACAAACAACCCCCCTCTCAAAACAGAGTTAACTATAAAATGTTTTAGCATTCAATGTAAGGTTCAGATGAGAGTTCTTGCTGTCCTCATTTCTTTTCAGCACAATATTTGATGGCCAATTCCAATCTGTAAGGCAAGAAAAGTAAGTGGTAGGTAAAAATAATTAAAAGAAGTAAAACCCTTTGGTTGTGATATGATTAATTAGTATAAAATTCAAAGATTTCAGAAGCAGTAGAGTTTAAATATTAAAATAAGCAGTAAAGTATAAGTGTCACTCTGTATATCATCAATCAATTCAAAACAATTTTATTTCTATATTACCACTCTATAGAAAAAAAATTTTAGAAAAAAAATTCCCAAATTAGAAAGTCAAAAGATTAAACCTACTAAGAGTCATAATAAGTCCTCCCTGCTGAGATTTATATGAAATGTGGAACTCTGTCTGCCCTCTGTCATGTTTCTGCTCCCTCAGTACTTTACCCTCAGAGGCAACACTACAGAAGCATTTGCCCTCAGGAAAAGGTCGCCTGTCCTGCCCACTTGCCACTCACAGCTTTCTTCAGTGTTGCCAAGCTCAGCAAGATGTCTACTTAAAGTATAGACCATGATAATGTAAATGTAATCCCCTGAGTACTATTATATTGCAAATGTGCTGTTAATAACAGTGAATTGAATTTTCTACTGTTAAACTTCAGAGTACCTATTTTCTGGACTGTGATTAGAGGCACTCAAAATGTAAAACATTTAACATACCATCACAGACTTCCTTACAAATCTAGGTTGTTCCAAACTCTTGGTAATAGAATTATTTATCTTTATATTATTCAGACTTCAAGGGATTACTCCTGTGAGACCTAAAGTCCTTAAGAGATTGCCAGAACCAAAAACCGAAAGCTAAACAAACAAACAAAAAGCCCACAGCATAGAGCCTATGGTTCCATGTGTGCAGCATGCTTCCTTAGTAAGGAACAAACAACCATTGTGAAAGTGTTGAAGGCACAAGCACAGTTAGAAAACTAAATAAATATGAAGCTTTTATTAAGTAGTAAAAATAAAGACTCATTTGGGGGGGGTGGGGAGTAGGGATGGAGGAGTGGGAAGTAGGGGGTGGGGTGGGGAGGGTAATACCCAGAGTGTTTTATCATTAAAGTCTTCAGATAGAACAGGATTCATTTGTTCATCAACATCAGGCCTCTCTTCTGTGTGTCAATTGGAAACTGATATTGAAGAATGTTAAATGTAATTCCTCTCTCAGACCTGTGTTTTGCACGAAATGCTTCCCACCTTACATTAGCATAAAAGTCACCTGTGGTACAAATACAGCTATATAGCACCCTTCTTAGAGAAAGTAATTCAGTTAGCTAGGATCAGGAGCTAGGCACAGAACTGAATGTGATTCTTACAATTGGAAATGTGGGGGAGACTGAGCTAATGAGTCACCACCAGACTTTCAGTTCTCTCTGATTGCCTCATAAGTTTTCTTGTCTATTTGAACCAAATATTTACCCGGTCAACCATATTTTCACATACCTGTTAGAATATCTGACTAAGATGTATAACCTGATGATAAGGTATTGAGGTTGAAAACTTCAGTTCATAGTTTTTCCTATGACGAGAAGAGTAGTAGCATTCCCAAGGTAGAGAAAGGCAGAGTTGCCATGACTCCACATCAAACCAGACATGTCTTCCTGGGCATAGTCTTTCCAGGGATACCTCTGACTTCAACAGAGCCCTATTGCATTGCTGGACACCTCTAATTTCTTCTTTAGGACAGACCATGGTCTGGTGTATTTCTCACACAGGACCTATGCCAGAACTGTAGAGCAGGAGCTGCAACCCAAATTCAGGCTTATAAGGAAACATTGGCTTCAGGTTTTGAAAACCAATTGTCTGTTGGCCATAGGTTTAGTTTTTGGTTGGCTTGGATACTGCCTACTGGCTTAATTTTCTCTTCTGTATGTAGTAGTGCTTCATGCATGATAGTGTGGTATTTACTTCAGGTCAGACTTCTTACTTCCTCCCTTCCTGGAACACCATGTGATCTAGGACAAAACTGAGTTGGTTTTAAGATGAAGGTAACGTTCTAGGCATTCAATGAGAGGTAACTGTTTTTGTTGTCTTTGTAGTATGTAAAGGTACATACTTTACATATATCAGATATATAGAAATTCATCTGATCTGTCATCATATTTCATTCATAATTAAAATATTTTCCTCAGCTTTCAAATCAAGGAAGATGCAACTTGTGACATGTTGGGTTTTAGAAAAGCTTTGTTTCCCATGGTTTTTATCTTTTCCTTAAATGCTTTGCTATTTGATCTATAAGGTCAGAGTTATGTTCTTTGAGAGGTATTAGCACTGAGAAATAATTTTTCAAGCTTGTAAGCTTACTGTTATTTACAAAACTATCACAAGCACACTCTTCTATTTTCAGCCTGGCAGGGGGCCGGATATTGTCGGTGATAAAAATGAGGCTGATCAAAGGCCACAGCAGTGGAGATCCTTTTTATAAAGCAGTAGAGGAAGTTGTTCAGGATTTGGATTTGAGGATTAAAAATATTATCAATTCCCAAGAAAGTGTAACTGTCAGCACCACAAACATCAGTCCTGTGCCGGTAATGGATTTATTCTTCATTGTCCTTCTATATAAAACATAATCTCTTCTATTCATTGCAGAAAGTGTTTGCTGTTGCTACTTAAGTCAGAAGTATGTATTTTCTATGTTTTAAGATGATGCTATCAAATTTAATTTTCTTAATAGGATTATGTTCAACTTAAGTAAATCATAACATCTTTGGGGAAATGTATTTGTTAAAATAAAGCATTGGATAATCTCTAGTATATCTTTCAGCACTGAATACTTAAGGTGCTTAGGGCTACTTTTCAATAATTATTCTTATAATACTATTATTTTTCTATTTGTTTAGATGTAAATTAATAGTCTGGTTTTTGACTTCAATATTCATTTCTCTGCAGGAAAGCAGCAATACTATTAGAACAGCTTTTGTCATCAGAAGTTTAGTTTTCATTTATAGAGCTATATAATTTTTATTAGTAACTACATTTCCAGTTGATTGCAATTCAATCTTCCTTATACTTGGGAATCTTTTAGTTATACAACACATACTTCTTCCTTGGCTTTCTTGCATAGATAGTCAAATTTAATAGACCATTGCTACAGAAGTGAACTAACATGATTTTAAATACAGAACAGAATTTTAGACTATATATTATAGTGGGTCTACCTTTTTCTTCTTTCTTTCTTTGTTTTTATTTGAGACAAAATCTTTCAGTGTAGTCCTGGTTGGTTTGGAACAACTCACTGTGTAGCCCAGACTGGCCTCAAACTCCTATCTGTAGCCTTTTGGATACTGGAATTACACATGTAAACCATTGTGCCTGTCTACAGTGTGGTGTTTATTTGGTTAACAAAAGGCCCTTCTCATTAGGCGTCACCATGGCAGGCAGTGCATGAAGAAATTCTTTTGCTTTTGCTATTTATTTATTCTTTCATCCACAGGCCTTGGTGATCATTTTTATCTATTTTCCTACAGAAATGCATGTCCTTAGATTTACTTCAAAGGCATCATAGAGAAGATTCTGGGATGCTACCCCATTTATTTCATGTACATGCCAACATTTTGAGTGACTAGCTTGGCACAAAACACAAGGGAGATATCACTGCAAGTGTAAGCCAGGAACCACTTTCATCTCAGATCCCCCAGAGTGCCAGCTTCCCATTTGTAGGCAGACAAAATCCTGACACAAACCACCTGTTCTTAGTTTTATGTTTTCACTAAATCATGAATCTTGAAAACATCATCAAATAACACTCAGGAAGGTACTGTTAGCAATGTGGCACTCTGTGAAACTGATGTAAACCATGTGGTAAGTATTAGATCACTGAAGGCTCTGCGCTTTACTTTGAGTGCAGCTGTGCATTACAGTTCATTTGGTAGCC